CGATTTGCGCCTCTCTCACTTGCGAATTCGCGCCAGTTGTTAATACCGACTCCAGATAAGTCCTTCTGCACTTGGTCCTCGCTTTTTGCTCGTGGGCGCCGTTGCTTTCGTTGTCTACCCATGGGTGCCGAGTCGAAGGATACTTTCACTGGAGTGTACAACATGGCAAAGACAGCGCTATCGTTGTGTTTTTATGCGCTTAACTATGCCCATGTCGTTAAAAGCTCATACGGCTCGTCATTCCATCTGCTTCGGTGCCCGTCGACCACGCGAACAGACCGTAGATCTCGCGTTGGATAGTTCTCTCGAAAGCACCCAAAGCCTTCTCATCTTCTTTCCACATCGTCCGTATTTCTGCGCCATATAAAAGAACGGGCACGGTACCTAGGCTATAAAACTGCATACAAAAAATTTTTCTAAAGATTCTGATTAAAAAGTTTGAAATTGTGGTGAAAATTTATTGAATTTTAAAATTTTTATACAAAGTTTTTATTATACAATAAGCTAAATTTTTTATAAAAACTGAATGAACTTTAAACAAACAAAAGATAAATAGCAAAATTTATCAAAATGTTGAGGTTCTATTATTTTGTCCACAGGTTTACATGTACATATGATGTATACATACATAGGCATGTATATACGGAAAGCTTATATTCAATACCCTCTATCTGCAATTTTAATTAGAGTTGCCAGACCTAAAATGCCGAAAGGGGTACAAATAAGAACAAATTGGGGGACTTGGGGTACAACTGAGAGAGAGGGTTATTTTTCGGGGGACAAATAAAACTAAAAGTGTTCAACAAAAAATTGATTCATTCGCTTATGGAACAACAAAACCGTTCATAAATAAAAATTCAATATCATTTGAACAAAACAAAGTTACACTGGCGATCAAAACTAAGTGGATGGCGATTTTATTTTAAATATTTACAATGTTCACACTGTTCCTGAATTAGTTAAACGTTCACTAAAACGTACGACAAAAATTGAAAATGCTACTTTGTTCGTT